AAAGTGTCCCCTGAATATAGATTGGTAGCAGTATTAACATACATATAGGCCTATTCCTTTGACTTGAAGCCAAACACTGTCCCTTGAATAGGGGTCTCTCCCAACGGAGGGGTTCTAAAATCAACTACAATTTACTTTTAAATAATTATTTTAAAAATTTATACAAAAAAAAACTATAAATTCTATCATATCATTATATTATATATAGATTTGTACACATAAAAAGCTGTCTCTTATAAGTATAGATCAGCTATAAACTATCTTGTGGTAATGCAGTATATTTTGGTAATGATAATAATAATAATAATAATAATAATAATAATAATAATAATAATATTAATAATAATATAATAATAATAGTAATAGTGATAGTAATAGTAATAATAATAATAATAATAATAATAATAATAATTATTATTATTATTATTACTATTATTATTATTATTATTATTATTATTAAGCAAACTACTTTGTTGGGCTAATGCTTCTATGTATTGCTGCCAATACTGTAGGTTAGTCGATCATTGACAAATTTGCTGTCTTTATTCTTATTATAATTATTATAATCATTATAATTATTAGAATCATTATAATCATAACCATAATAATCTTTACAATCAATATATTTATTATAATTTTCATAATTATATTTATTATTATAATAGTTACAATAATAAAAAAAATAATAATAATAACGATAATAATAATAATATTATTATTATTATTGTTATATTATAGTAACTAGATACGATAATGATGATAATAATAATAATAATAACAATATTAATTTGATAAGACTAATTATATGTCAATAATAATAATAATCTTTCCAATCAATATATTTATTATAATTTTCATAATTATAATTATTATTATAATAGTTACAATAATAATAATAATAATATTATTATTATTATATTATAGTAACTAGATACGATAATAATAATAATAATAATAATAATAATAATAATTATAATAATAATAATAATAATAATATTAATTTGATAAGACTAATTATATGTCAATAATAATAATAATAATAATAATAATAATAGTTGTTATTATTTTTATTGTAATTATTATCATTAATAACTTACACTAAATTTGTATTGAAAAACATGTCATTAATAATAATATTAATAAAAATATCTCAAATTTATATGGCGCCAGTTCCCAAAAAAGATCAAAGGTGTAACACATGTGAAAAGCCACCGGAAAATACAAATAGGTCTTAAGCTGCGACGTAAAGTTGCAAATAGAGTTGGAAGAAGTTATGTAATTTGGAAGCTAGTTCCAAAAAACAAAAGGCATGAGCATAAGTAAAAGAACATTGACTGTAGGTTTTGGTACGCCGTAATATTGGTGACAAAAGGAAGTGTTTTGATTCAATATACAGCAACCTTGGTAATTGGAAATCATTGCTTGTCTTTATGTATTGAATAGGGGAAGTTCTACATCTACAGTTTCATTCTTAAACACAGTGAACTCCTTAAGCGTTCACATATGACTAACAAAATTGTCCCCTGAATATAGATTGGTAGCAGTATTAACATACATATAGGCCTATTCCTTTGACTTGAAGCCAAACACTGTCCCTTGAATAGGGGTCTCTCCCAACGGAGGGGTTCTAAAATCAACTACAATTTACTTTTAAATAATTATTTTAAAAATTTATACAAAAAAAAACTATAAATTCTATCATATCATTATATTATATATAGATTTGTACACATAAAAAGATATTAAATATGCAAAGCAAGGGTTGCTATAGTAATTACAATTGTCATTTCTTTTAAAATCAATAATCATTGTTTATCGTCAAAAAATATTAGAAATACATTTCAGGTATAATTGAAATAATTGTTTGAGTATATATGTTACTTTAATCTTACTTTAGCTGAAGACATAATTTAAATTTTATCAGCCATTTTAAATGCATCATTTTGAGGTAGCCTACCCAAAGGGAATTTTGGTAGTTCAAAGACCTACATTTTCAGAAAATAAAAAATAGTTGGTAGTAGGCCCGCAGCGATTTCCAATTCGATAATTTCTGTAGTTGTCCATTTGGGCTTAGTCTGCTCGCCTAATAATGGATCACGATCTCTTTCCGTTGGTATAAAATGTATATAGGCCTATGCACCAGCTTTGTATTTGTATCTTTGCCTATACTTTATATAGGTCTATAAGTTTATTATCCTTCGACGTTATGAGACTGCTATTCAAGTTTGATTATTGTTTTTCTATTTTAAGATGTTTCGTTTTGAAATACCCACTCAGAGTTCGCACTGTCATCACTTTCAAAAGAAAACTATTAGTCACAGCCGGTATCTGGGTGATTTCAACCTTGTGTTCAATTCATGTTATTGTTTACCCTGTAAGTAGCCCGTTGATTAATTGCCATTGTTTTTATAAATAGTAGTTAATAAGTTAAATAAATTCCCAATTTAGTGCCGAGTAACAAAAATAGGCCAAGCACGCATGACAATAATGATTCATACACTTTCAACATGTTAATCTTTCATTGTTGTGTACAATAGGTTTTATGTAGGCCTACCATTCGATTTGGACGTGTTCAGTGGTGTATCTCATATTGTTTTTTGAGCAATAAGTAGGAAGCTCGATGATTAAAATGAGGGACGTTACTTGCCAAATTTTTCTAGTGGCGGATCCTGTTGGGATGAGCGCAAGAGTATTGGTTGGTGTGTACTAAAAGTGCTCTTCTTCCCTCCGTAAAAATGCCGCTAAACATGTCGCTAAATAGTAAATACCATGCACCTATGTTGGTCATTCCACATAGGCCTAGTGTGCATTTTGTCTATAAAATTGCTTTAGTTGTTAACCAATAACAAATATATGTTATATTTCTGTAGCCAGATTTTATCACACCTGTTTTCAATGACGAGTTTGACAAGTGGCAACCTACAACACAATTTATAATTCCGGCAGTCATCGTTGTAGTATCTTGCATCATTACAGCTTTAACACTTATTAAAAGAATACACAGTAATCGTTTACATGAGTCCAATCAAAGTAACGTGTCCACAGGAAATTCTCTCAGAAATCCAAAAAAGGTAGGACTATAATCTAGCTTATTGAATAAAATGCGTTCACAATTATAAACAATAATATGTTAATATATAATAATAATAATAATAATAATAATAATAATAATAATAATAATAATAATAATAATAATATTAATAATAATAACAATAATAATAATAATTATTATTATTATTATTATTACAATAAATAATTATAAATAAAAAAAATAATAATAAATAAATAAATACTAAATATAATAATAAGAATAATATTAACATTAATAATAATGTTAATATTAATATCAATATTATATATATATATATATATAACATTATTATTTTTAAACCACATCAATATCAA